TATCCATCACTCGTGACGGCGGCGATGTCGTCGGCCGCCTCCTCCTCCCCCGCCGCCGCCGCCGGCGGTAGCGAAGGAAGCGGGGGTGCGGAGGGCGGGGAGATTGCGTACGTGAGCTACGGCGGGGAGCAGCACCTGCCGCTGGTGATGTCGCTGGTGGACGAGGAGCTCAGCGAGCCCTACTCCATCTTCACCTACCGCTACTTCGTCTACCTCTGGCCGCAGCTCACCTTCCTGGTACGCGCGCCTCCCCTTCTCTCTCTCCCCCCACCTCTCCCCTCCGCGCCCTCTCGAATCGCGCCGCGGTCGTGCCGGATTTGACGCTCTCCTGGTTCTTCGTCTTGGGTGGCAACGGGGATGGGGGGCCGATGCAGGCGTTCGATGCCAGGGATGGCAAGTGCGTGGGGACGGTCGTGTGCAAGATGGGGGAGCACAGGGGTGCATTCAGGGGCTACATCGCCATGCTCGTCGTCCTCAAGCCCTACCGAGGGAGGGGAATAGGTGACGCACTTCTTCTTCCTTTTTGTTACTGCTGCTTTGGGCTCTTGATGAATTGCTTTCACCTCTATTCTAGATCGTTTCTAGACAGGGAATGATCGTGCCCGGATAGGTCGATTACGTACTAGACTGCAGAAACCTTAATGCGCTGTTCAATTATGTGTACACAAACGATCAATCAATATGTTGTATGAACTTGCTTGTGTTATCCAACTGGCATTGTCCAATTATATCACAAATTCGTAACTGAGAAAAAGGGTAGCCCAACTGTGCCAGAAAGAAGCTTCATTTTCTGTATGAATATTCCGCTTCCTTGGTTTGCAACATGAGCAGGCATATAAATGTTTACTTGGCTGCTAGATCGTTTTTTGACAATTGGCATGCTGTCATATGACTGTTGTGGACCCTTTCTTGAAATAATAAATGAGTTTCTTTGGCAAACTGTACTTGAGAAAGACTGCTAGTTAGAAAAGGAGTTTACAATCTTTGCCCAAGTACTTTCCATTTACTGTATGTATATACTGTATAGACTTGTAGGCAGGGCAAGTTGAGGAAAGCCACAACTTGCCACTAATTAGTCTAGCAGGTTTGTGGATGTCCTCCAATTCCGCTCACTTGTGTTCTATGAACTTGGTGGCTGATACATACAGACCCGCATGACCCCCAAAGCACGTGTTGCTGGCTTGCTTGCCACTACTGCTTCACATGCCTTCTTAATAGAAATACATACTGCATACTGCTGCTAGAGAATCGAAAAAAATCTGGCCAACAAATTTATCATAATCCACAAAGGCCCCAACAGAATAGTAATTCATGCTATTGGACAATAGATTAATCAAACAAAATTCTGGATAGATACATAGATGAACAACAACTGATAGCTATTTCAGTACGAGTTCAATATCATTTCAGCTGGCATGTAATGGGATTTATGCGAATACTAATAATGTCCCCAATATGGCACTGGGATAAAAGCTTATGATCTCGAGTCTTCAGACACCAACAATAGGGAAAAGTTAGAAAAAAAAAGAAAGAAGTTGCAACGAACAATGCTCCTCCTAGCACCTTCTTTCTTCGGTTCTGGAAAATTCAGAAACAAAGGTTTTCATCAAAACTGCAAAACTATAATGTGAAGTCCAAAGTCTAAACATGTGCTGAAATATAATTACTTTGAACAACCTAGAAATTATGGAAGGTCAATCATTGATGCCAAAAACAATTGAAGGTTTAACCAGAACAAATCTGCTGAAGATAGTTCATATAAAGGCCTATGAAATGAAAGCTTCAAGCTTTTGCAGTCATTCACGTTTTTTGCAGCTGTCAAGGCTCACCACTGGGGCACAAAGAGGACAAACATTGACTATCTTAGTGAATATGCATTTCCCTTGCAAGTTAAAGTCCGGTAATGCTGCTCATACCATACCAATACCTAGGAGGAAATTTTCTAGCGAATACTAGAAAAGAGGGCTTTCTACATAGGGATAGAGCAGGTGTTGTAAGGTAGATACAGTTTCAGCTTTAATTTGAGAGTGAAGCAATTTGTGTAAAATGGCCTGTGTAACTGAGTGCAAGTTACAGCAATCTAGCTCAGATATGTACAAGAACTTAGGCCAGTGGGTTAGGCACAGTGATGCTATACACTTCACAGGACTAAAGAGAGGTGAGGACGAAGCAACTCCTTACCCATCTGTGTGGAAGAAAATTCCAGACAAGGAAGCCACACCTGCAACCAGACGTCCCATGCCCCAGAAACCAGCGCCTGGATCTTGGAGGCTTCATCACCCCATCCTCTCCTCTTCCTCCACTGCAGAGGAGCGCTGGACAAGGGCCATGTTGCCACCAGCTGCCATGGCCGCAAACGTCATCTCAATCTGCATAGGCGTAGAGGTACAACAGGCAGAGGGCGACACTAACAGGGACAGCGGTGGTAGCAGTAGGATTCCGAAGAGGGCGATGCCAACAGAAGCAGCGGCGGCACTTCTTGTGAGTTTTGTCCAATGAGGTTGGGAGACTGAACAGTAATGGTCCGCAAACTATTGGCTGGTGGCCCACAACAGGCCAACAGCCACAAAGAGTTATTTGCATGGCAGACTGGCGGGTTACGTTAATAACCCATCCTGCCTGCATTCTTTACTGTGTGCTAGGCATTGACTTGTGCTATTGCAGAATTTTGGATGGTCACTCTGTTCCAGTGTCATATGTATGGTAGTTCAGTGTGGGGTGTCATCAGGGAATCACTGATTCTGATAAGAGAATAGAGAAAATGATTAGTGATTATGGTGAGGAACGTTAACATCTTTTATTTGATAATTTCTTTCACATAGGACTAATATTTTGACAGATCCTTCTATTGAGAATCTTTCTTCTAGCATACATTGATGATGAAATCCTTGGAATTATCTATCCTTTCAGCACTTATATGTTGAATTAGTCCATTGGCGGGTTGCTTTTCTTATGCAGTGTGTGTAGCACAAGTTAGTTTTCTAATAAAGGAATGATAATTACGTCATTATGAGTATCCTAGTTTTCGTGTGTAAATTGGTACCAAATCTTTAGCTATTTTCACCTTTTCAATTGGCTGATCTTAGCAAGCAAAGTAACTAAATCTCTATTTGTCTTTATACAGCAACTGAGCTAGTTACTAGATCAATTCGGGTAATGATGGAGTCTGGCTGTGAGGAGGTAATTACTACTGCCATTTCACGTTCTCTTTTGGTTCCCAACATTCCAATTGACTTGGAGAACTCCTAGAAGTGAGAGCTTGTCACCTATCTTTATTTTGGTATTTTCCATTTCTTTTTTGTGTAAAAAGGGTTTATAACATCTTCAGCTAGAAAGATGGTAATAAGTTTGAGCTTAGACCCTAGATTAACATGCAGTTTGCATATGAACATCCTTCCCAAATGTTCAAGTATTTGACATCCAACTTGTACCTTCCGATCAGGTGACACTTGAAGCAGAAGTTACTAATAAGGGTGCCCTTGCTCTCTATGGTCGCCTGGGGTTTATTCGAGCAAAGAGACTGTACAGATACTATCTAAATGGTGTAGACGCTTTTCGGCTGAAACTACTATTTCCACGCCCTGATCCTGGCCTGCCTCCAATGATGATTGGCAATGACAGGGATGACCAGAAGATGGATTCTCCCTACTTGTGACAGTATCCTAATCAGTAGGTAGAATTGAGTTGAGAGACCTGGAATCCAATCATTTTTCGCTCTGTTTCATGCTTTCACAGCTAGTATGTAACTGTAATATTGTTGGTACTTCATATAAAATTTCGAGGTGTCTATTTCCTCCTGTTCTTTGATAAGGATGTTGTATTTTTTTTTTTTTATCTTTTTCCTATCAACTTCACATCAAGCAGTAAGACCGTGCAGTTCTTTTGCTCAATAAACAAAATGCATGCCGCAGTTGCTGTAGAGTTTAATTGTGAATATCGAAGGTCTCTGTCAACAATACTTTTGATAAAATCCCAAAGATTGTGGATGGCCACAACCTAATACTGTACAGGTCGTTCCCTGTAAATGAACATACAACTAGCTGGAAATGTAAAATCAATGACAGGATAACAGCGGGGGTTGTGATGCTAAGTCCAGAACAATGTTTTCTGATTGTCCGATTAATCGCGATTAATCATCCTTATCAGTACTTAGCACTTGATTAGGCCCTCCGATTTGATTAGAGCGATCAGAAACCTGATCGTCCGATTAATCATCGATTACTCGTGATTAATCGTTCGATTAGGTCTCTTTGCCGATCAACACTAAATAGGCAGATGGGTTACTTCAGTTTACTGGGCTATATTTATTTGAGCCAGGCCCATTAGGGTTTCTCTTATATACGGTTATACCTCACCCCCACTCTTTCTCTCCTCAGTACTCCTCACTCCCGCTGTGTGCGCAGCTGAGCTCCATCTCATAGGTAAATAACCAACTAACTAGAAATATGCTCGATGTCTACTATATAAATATATAGTATATGGTATATTATATATATAACATACATATATAATATATACTTATATAGTCCTGCTATATGCTGGACAATTATATGGACAATTAGACCGATCAGAGGTCGATTAATCGTCCTGATCGCCCTAATCGGTACCAGACCGATTAGGAACGATAAGCCGATCAGAAAACATTGGTCCAGAAGGTGCAATAGTCCATTAGACATTAAAAACTGAATTCCACGCCAACAGCTTGAAATATTTTCGTTAAGCTAATATTGTTTTAACAGCAACAGGTAGCAGCCAGTAGAACCACTCTAGAAAACCAAAAGGAGCTATGCTCACTTGCTCAGCTGCACATCACACCCAACATGTCAGTAGAACATTGGGCGACACCAACATTTATACAACCTGAATCCCAGTAAAAAGGGTGGATGGTGAGAGTCAGTTGCGTAGGTGAGGTGTTGTTTGCTTCGAAGATCATGCTTTCAAACACTGAAACAACAATCACTGGTACCCTGGCGCGCTGCTGCCAGCCTCCTGGGGTTGATTCACCTCGGGAACCCCCAACCGGACCCATAATAGGGGGCTCTGAAATGGAAGAGGGCAAAAATGCAATTAATGATTTTTGCAAGTTGCAGAATGTAAAATTTGTTTCTCTATTGTTTAAGCAAGTAGTTGTTCATTAAATATTCAGCAGCTGAATAATATGCTTTTCAGACATTACTGTTGCCAGCAGAGGTCACATGTACAACATGGTTTGCAAAAAATAACTACAATGTAACAGAACTAACATACAGGAAGTACTAAGGTTCATTAAGATATCAAATGAGTACCTCTCATATGTGCTTTGCTGGTAATGATGATTCACACTACCATGTTCATATGGATATGGATGATTCTGATAAGGAGCATAGTAGGGACCAGTAGAATAAGCGGGACCTGAGACATGCACTGGCATAGGGTATTGGGCATAGAGAGAACATGAAGGTGGCGTTTGCACATACCGATAGGCAGAATGAAATGGACGATATGCTTCATATCCATCTCCATAACCATACCCAGTTTCTGTTACCATACCTGGAGCAGTCGGAGGCAGGTAAGGACATGGAGGTGGATAGGCTTCAGGTGGCATCGAATGAGCATCCGGAGGAGCAATATAGGGAGTTGGATGATGCACATAAGCAGGTGGTTGTGCCGGGTTAGCTGAAGGAGGTAGAAGAGGAGGAGCAGGGGGCCAGTTATCAACATCATGTGGATCAACACCAGGTGGGGGTGGGGGCCTGTTATCAACATCATGTCGGGGTGCTGATTCAGGAAGTAAAGTAATTGGCTGAAATAGTGCCCTCAGTTTCTCAACCTACAACAGAAAATCATCAGCATATGAAGCCTCATTACATGTATTATATAAGTTCATACCAAATACCAAGGTAAAATAGAAGACAATATCATATTCCTGCTAGCTGCTAAACTGATACTCAAGGTCAATAATGATAACTTGTCCCATAACACATAGAAGAGAATTTCTATAAAAAAGAGAAAAGAACAAAACAATGTATGAAAATGCTCTCATCATGCCTCAGTTTTTCCCTTCTCTTTTCTTAATATACAATTTCTTATTTCTCAGAAAAAAAACATTGCAACATCACAAATGAACAGCCTAAATACAATCAGAAAACCTATTATGGCAACAATACAGAACACCCAAGCTCCAGTGAAATAAACATAACATCCTATATGCCTTGTTTATGGGAATAAAGGGCACTAAAAAGAATAGACTTCACTACTTCAGGCCTCAAAATTTAAACATGCTATATAGCAATAAATGAAAAATCTATCTCAGCATCAACTTGAGTTCACATTTGTATGTGATGGATGAGCAAATTCAAAAAGGAAAGTCTTAAACGTCTAATATGTCAGGGAAGGATAGTTGTCCTTTTGTCTACTAACCCCCAACATATACCAGTTAAACCAGGCATCATATGAACTGCACAGCAGGTTCATGTATGCAGATGTCCGTCCTTATTCTATCTAATGGTATGATTGAAGGTTGGCGGTCAGAAATAATGTAAAGGAGCCACACATAACAATATTCAATACAATTCATTTCTCTTCACAGACACAACAAATGCTGATTCTTGCTCATCCATACTTACTTGTGTAGCAGTAAGCTCTGGGTTGAACCTCCCATTGACATAGTTGTCATTGATGGCACTTCTTAGGCTACTCTCAGGGAGAGGCATGAAATCACCATCAATCTTAAACTTGACCTGCACACAAAAACAAAAGTTGTTGGCTTTTGTTCCATTGCTAGATGACATTACAATGTTTAAATTGGCAATTAATATGCATAAGGGAATGAAAAAATATTAGAGGAAACGAAAAATTTCTGCAATCAATCAGCATAAAAAGGTTAGCTCTTGATTGAGATAGCTTTTCTCGAACAAGCAGGAGAGCTGTCAAGAAGAATGGAGAGGAGGAGCAAAAGCCCAAATACAAACACATGCACACACACCAAAATGAGATAACTAGAAAAAATCACACCCTTAAAATAAAAGCAACCTTGACCTAACCAAAGGTTCCACCTAAGAACCAACCTCTGGGCCAAGAGCAAGGAGGAAGGAGATGCCCCTGGCCCCTGCCAAATGCCCCAACAATACAAATCCACCCTAGCGAGCAACAGAGCATTAGCTAGATTAGGAGAGACACCATCAAAGACAAGTTGATTGTGATGTTTCCAAAATTGTCTGAGACCCTAGGATGATGAGAGAGTTCAGTCCTTTTCTGGCATGTCCATCCATCAAAACTTCCACATTCGACAACTATCAAAGGATAAGTCCTCCAGCTGAGTAGAGAGACTCTTCAACACAACACTTTGGAGTAGGCTGTACCGAAATTGGCACACAAAAACACAAGAGATGAGAAGGTGGTTGATGTTTTCATTAGCCTGGTCACAGTGAAGACAGGAGGCAGGATGAGCAAGGCCACCCTGGGCAAGCCGATCAGCAATCGAGCATTTTTTTTGAGCCTGGATCCCTAGTATGCAAGTTGTAGTATTTGAACTCTACTAAACGCACTCACACCACACACACGCACACCCCTAGAAACTACAACCTATACACATCTCGCGTCCTTCTGGAGATCACCGAAGCCGCACGGACCTCGTAGACGACGGGCATGTCGTAGTCCCATTGTGGAGCCACACGAATATCCAGGACCTACAGGAAACAAATCCGGGAAAAATCCCGAGGTGCGACACCCGAGTCGTCCCAACCGGGAATCGAACTCAGGTGGGTGGCGGTCCCACTAAGCGGCTTCACCACCAAGCCACTGGCTCGTCCGCCAGCAATCGAGCATTTGTTGTGCATAACCAACCACACAAACAAGCAGGAGTCCAGGATAGTGAGAGCTCTTTTGACAAGTTCCTAAGGACCCTTGAAATGTTTAGAGACATAGGCAAACATGTGCCACCAAGAGCACCTCACCACATTCCAGGCCTCAACAAGACTGCCTTAGAAGGAAAACATTGAAAGGAATTCTAAATCCACTCTAAACCTTAGACCTTTTAGTCCCCATAGATACCAATGGTTCACAACTTCAACAGCAGTGGGATGATCTGTGTGGATTCAAGGACAACACTGAACTACAGAGTAAAAGGTCACCATTATAGATCCTCCTTGCCATTAATTAAGCCTACAGCCAGTTCATTTGAAACTGGTCTCCCTGAAACAATCTATTCTCCCATTATCTAAAAAAACAATCTATTCTCCATAAGATGGTAGTAGCAGAAACTGGTAACAAACCAAATATATAACTTCTTTTTAGTGACCTCAAAAAAATAACTGTGAAAGGCCATTTAGATTCACAAACTTCTAATATACATAGGTGAGCATTAAGAAGTGCAACTCAAAAAATCTAAAATTGTGCCTATGCTTTAAATCAGAGAGTCCAAATAAAATATAAGCTTCTACTCCTTCAAAGTCCATATTAATCTGCATCCCTTGCTTTTGTGGATAGGATGACAAATATCGTCACAGACACAACAGCAAACAAAAATGAAGAATGCCAAACAGAAAACAAGAGGAAAATGATAAAACACATCTTCATATCCATCTAGCATGTTCTTAGAACACTAAATCCAAACTGATGCAGAGAGCAAGCCTGTTCTACATGAGACCATAAACCACCCATCTGACTGGGGAACATAGCATTTCAGCTTCTCCAAAAGTCAGCATTACATCATAAGGGAGACATAGTATATCTCAGACTCCCACCAAAATTCCATCAACCTCAGACTGTAAAGTTTCTGTTTCATAATTGGAAACCATGACTCTTGTTTCATCATACTCTACGACCTTTCAGGCGATAGTAGCAAATACTAATTGTCAATCTTACCAATTTAGCATACGATTCAGTTCAGTTCCCCCAATTTCACGTCCACATCCCTTGCACTCCCGATTCCAAATTAGCGACCATCTCACAACAAACCATTCTAACACCCCCAAGAATCGTTTTTATTTTCCTAGGAAAATCCCCAAGAATCGTAGAACACCCAACGATTGTAACAAACAATTTAAACCAAATTCATGATTAAAAAGCAGTACTACTCCACCCCATTCCCAACTGACCACCAAAAAGCCCGCGCCTTTGGAGAGAGGAAGCGCAAAGCCACAAACGAGTTAACCAACCTGCGCGGGGAAGCGGCCGTGGAAGGCGGCGGGGACGAGATGGAGCCCTCCATCGGAGTCAGCTTGGTAGGGCCCGTAGAGGTACCTCGCGTCGAAGTCGTAGAGGAAGACCGCCGCGCCGCGCCGGATCCGCGAGACCGCGTCCAGCCTCCCGCGCGGCAGGCCGAGCACCCTGTGCCGGTAGCATTCGGGCTTCGTTGCGCCGTTGCACATAAAGATGAACCCCGCCGGCGAGGCAGCGGCAGCGGTGGCGGTGGCAGCCGCGGCCGCGGCGGGGCGGGGGTCGTGCTTCGCCGCCGCCTCCGGTGGAGAGCGCGACCGCTTGCGCGCCGAGGCGGGAGGGGAAGGCGAGGAGGGCCTCGCCATGGAGGCGGACGCCGGATGGGTTAGGCTTTTGGGAAGGAGAGAGGACGGAGGTACGGCGAGAGCGCGCGTCGCGGTGGCGCAACCCAAGGACCAGCGGGATCAGGGTGCTCTGTCTCAGGCTCTAGTCCGAGCTGCCGAACAGGTCCACCAGGAAGAAGTGGTTGACTATGCCACTGTCGTTGACTGAGAGTGTGTTTGGTTCGAAAGAACTTATAAGCCGTATTTTTTCGATCAATGAATAATATTTTTTTTCTCACAATAAATCAATTAACAGTACTTTCAGTCATGGCTTATCAGCCAAGCGAACAGTGCATTGATATATGGAGCCAACCACTCTTTGATCGGGAGTGCATGACTTGGGGTGCGTTTGGCTCCCACCATAGCCATTGCTGCCACATTGTGGGCGCGCCACGAGTGTGGCGGACGAAACGGCCACCAGACAGTTAGCGAGTTGTGGTGTGCGTTTTGAACTAGTAGGCATGCCGCGCGCCAAACCTTTGGCGAAGTGCAGCGGGAGTGTTTAGCAGTTCCGGCGTGCCGCACTTGCGGCGGGGTGACCTGCGCGCTTTGGCCACGATCCAAACGCACCCTTGGTGTGAAAATTGGTATAAGATTGAAACATCTCTAATTGTTTGAACTCGTTGTCAAGCTCGATTTATAATAGTTTTCAATCATAAGTACTATTTTTTTCAAAAGCCATTGATGAGTTTGTTGCCTGCGGACTTCGTGCGCTCCCAATCACTAGAAATCGCTCCCTCACTTTTTTCCTCACGTGTGAAAAAACTATATCCATGTTTATCGCCGCCGAGACTTCGGGTTCAGGGAAGGGACGAAGGGTCTCAAGCGAGCTTGGCGATGAGGTGCAGGCCGGAGTGAGGGCCAAGGAGGAAGAGGCATGCAAATAGTTGTGGCAAGTGAAGGCAAAGAAGATGGTCGGCGACAGATGAGCGCCGCGTGCAGGCAAAGCGGCACATGAAGCTAGACAAGGAGTTTGTGAGTACCAAGCAGATGCATAAGCAAGTGCAGGTGGAGCTGAGTCAAACCTACGCACTTCACGAGCACATCGTGTACTAGGTGAACATTGAATCGTCTCGTATGCCATGGCTACTGCCACAAGTTCCACTAGACGGCATGGCCCCTGGCCCGCTAGAGGAACCGCCCCTTAATGACGCGAGATGGCATGCTAGGTCCCGCGAGCACCCCAAGAGGGGTGAATTAGGTGTCTAACTTAAATCTAGGGATCAAATTAAAGTATCACTAAAAAATCATACATTACTCTAGGAAGATGATGTGCACTTAATTTTTTCTATTGTGCTCTATCTTACCCTTAATCTAGAAAGATGAAGGCCACAAAGAGTTTTTCAATCTAGAGCTAATTTTATCAACTAGTCTATAACTAATCTAGGAAGGTGAAGGCCACATGATCAAAACACGTGTTGAAGCTACAAACAGTAAGTAATATAAATAGCTTAACTAAGATAGGGGAAATCCCTGGAGATGTCGAGATGTATCTCGTGGTATTGGTTGCTAAAACGCAACCCTTAATCCACATTGAAGATCCAACAATGTATGCTCTTGGTCAATAAGTCTCTCCTGGTCACCGAGTTTGATTTTGCCACACAAGGTCTCTTCCAACCAAAAAGGGCAGTACGTGAGTAACACAATCTCACAGCTACCACCTGCCTCTTCCAATCGCATTGACGCCATGTCCACTATGAAGTTTCTTCACATGAGGAAGGGGTCTCATCGTCCCCCATACACGATTTCTCCACATCAAGAACAGAGAGGGTCTCACCACATCGAAGGCCACCACGTTTTCCCCGCAAACCTGTGATGTTAAACTCTCTTAGGTTATGGAAAAATATTGCAAAGCATATGTTCATTTCAGAGACATGGACGAGACCTAACCGCTACAGTTCAGCGGGGAAAGCAAAAGCAGCAAACTACAAACCCTCGATAACCTCCAAACAATGTGTATATGCCTTCAAAAGTGAACCACCACCACAACAGACACAACCCATCGTTTGATTCATATGCCTTGAATGTTACCATAGTTACAATGCTTTGGGCCCAAGGGCTTCCGCATCGATCAATCTCAAGTTTAATTAAATATATACAAAAATGCTAATATTTATAATATTTAATAAATACTCCTTCTACCCCTAAAGTGTCATTCTTTTTTCCCAAGAAGTCAAACGTTTTTAATTTTGACCAAATAAATATATATGAAAAATCATTCATACATATGGTGCATAATGAATATTGTTATATTAATAATTAAATATTTTCGTAATAAATTTATTTGAAGATATAATAAATGTTGCTAATGTAAACAGTTTGACACCCTAAATGACAATTATTCTAGAATGGAGGAAGTATATCATTATATTAATTATAGACTATATTTTCATAATAAATCTATTTGATATAAATTACTATTTCTTTTATAAATCTAGTCAAACTTGATTAGAGATATATATATATATTTTTGGATGGAGCGTCCGGTTTTTTTTGTTTAAATAAAGATAATAATAACCCAGGGGTCTGCTTTCAGAGCTTAGTCCATTTCCATCCAGCCAAACTATAGGCTATAGCCTTTGCTCAAAAAAAGAAGAAGATAACTATAGGCTATAGCCCGTCCGGAGTCGGACTGTCGGAGTCAGTTACAAAATCTGGTCAGGTCGCTTGATCGCAGTCTCCAAAACCATGGACGGCGGCGAGGGCATGGCCTAGAAAGGCGGCAAGGCGACGTTGTTGGCGGAGGATCAGGGCCCCATGCCCCCATCCCACCAAAGTGCCAAACTCGCGCGTCCAGGCTCCAGAGTCGGAGTCGGTCGAGTCCCAAGTCCGAAGGAGGCTCCGCGTAGACCCTACAAAACTGGCAGTTCCACAGGTCTCTCACGGTTTTGTCTGAAATCGCTCACTCGATCGGAGACTCCATCCAAGACCATGGAGGAGGAGAGCGTGATTTCGCAAGGCAGCAAGAGGACGTTTCCGGCCGAGGAGCCCACTGTCGCCGCCACGCCGCCTGTGCCACCGCTGGGCGACGCGTTCGACGACCCCGCCCGCTTTGAAAACTACGCCATTCTTGCACTGCCGGCGTCGTCGTATGGCTCGGTTCTTGGCGACGACGACGAGGACGGTGAGGCTTACAACAACATGAGACGACGAGCGACAGCGAGCAGCGACAGCGACAGCGAGTTCGAAGATCATGACAATCGGGTGAGGTTCTGGGACGGCGATGCGTTCGGGAGTGAAACCGACCTGGTGGCGGGGCTTCTGACGTTCCTCGGCCGCCAGACGCGGTTCGCCTCGTTCCAGGGCGCGGCCGGCTTCATGCGCCTCTCCGCCGCACAGGCATCCCCCGGCGGCGAGGAGGACAGCGAAGGCGGGGCGATCGTCGTGCACTACCGCATCACCCGCTTCTCGAGGACCCCACGCGGCGTGCACGGAGTCGAGGTGCGCGACTTCGGAACGGCCCTGCACCACGTCCGGTACTTCGTCCCCTTCCCCGTCGCAGCCACCGACGCAGCGAGCTCGCTGCGCCTCGTCGGCGCCGCGCTGGCGGCTGACGTCTACCCGTACCGGTACTACGTGCAGCTCCAGGCGCTGTGGTCGAGCCTCGTCGCGGCGATCCCGGTGCGCGTCCCGGCGCGGGCCACCCGCCTCGTGGTCACCGTCGACGTGGGCGTGCTCCGGAGCGAGGACCGCACGCCGGAGCGCATGGAGCTCATGCGCGTAGCGCTTGCGGCGCTGGCGCGCGAGAACGACGACGCGTTGCCCATGGCCTGCGGTCTAGAGCAGCACCTGCCGGCGCCGGTGTGCTGCGACGGCGGGTCGGCCGGGGGCGACGATCGGCCAGCGAAGCGGATGAAGAGGTTCGCCGTCGCAGGAGAGGTGTGCGCCATCTGCCACGAGACGCTGGAGCATGGACTCGCGGCGTGGCCACGGTGCTCCCACGTCTTCCACGGCAAGTGTCTGGAGCAGCTCCTCGTCACGGTGCAGCATCGCTGCCCTATGTGTAGGAGTATGTTGTCAATCAAAGGCAGCATGCTCGATTGATTCAAATTAAAGCATGATTTTGCCGGCTGTACGTAGCAGTAACTTTTTCTTGTAACTTGTCATGGGAAAGGAGATTAGAGAAATGCTGTAGTTGTTAATACTGATATGATTGTATCAGTTGAACGACTTATTAATTGATTTTTTGTTGACATAAACTGGGGGAGGAGCATTCCCCACCAGATTTCATTTTTTCCGGGGAAACAAGTAATTGCTGTGCAATTCCATGGTACAGATTAGGCACGTCATATGCGCATGAAAGCGCAAGCCGCTGCCGCCGCCACGCCACCTGTCGCAACGCCGGCTCCTCGCAACCACCCCACCGCCACGGCCGCCACGCCTAGGGCCCCTCTCCTTAATCCTCTTCGGTGTGTCTGCTGTTGATAAGAAGGGTGGGTGACTCGTCTCTTTAATTTCCCACAGTTTTTTCAATTGCTTAGCGTTTAATCCAAATAAATCTTTCGACGAAATCAGATGATTTTTTGGTCAAAATCGTGTTTCCTGTGATGACTTCGATGATTGCCACGACGAGATCGCCGTTGCAAGCGTCGATTTCATTGGCAAGCAGTCAAGTTGTGGCCATTATCTGCAAATGGATGGGTGCTTCTAGGCGCCCCCAACGAAGATAGCTACTCCGGGTCATCGATCTCATCGTCGTTGGTCACAGAGAGGAAATAAAGGTTTGAATGTGATGAATCTGCATCCTATGCTGCTCCTAATGATGCAACTGCCGATATTCTTCCATAAATTCAGATGCGTTTTGGATGGGTTCTGAAGCGTTGGATCTTGCGGCATGTCTAATGTTTAGGCGTTGGTCAATGGATTTGGTATGAGGACTGCACTTTGGCTCCGATGTTCGAGGAATTCCATTGGGGAAGAAGATGGAAGAATCTGGATAGAACATTATGTATTTTTTATTTTAGTTTTTTATATGTAATTTGGGGATATACTGTGCCAAATTTTAATATAATCTCCCTTCCCTCACAAAAAAGGAAAGATTTGGGGGGAGAAGGTGTCTTAACGATCTCATAGTTGGAGGGGATGAATAGAAATAGTAGATCACGTGAGAGAGAAGCAGGGAGACTGAGCCATGACAGGTTCTACTAGATGTTTGATTTGTTATGTCGGTGTTTTGTAAACCGGACTAATAAATTTATACGAATGCTGCGCTGCACTAGGAAGACGATGGTGACATCCAAAAGACACAAGGATTTATATTGGTTTAGGCCGGAGCCCTATATCTAGTCTCAGAGATAATCGAGTGCGTGTTCATCGCTTGAATGCCCTGAAATTCTTACAATGGGGATGCAAGAATGGTGAAAGAGGTAGGAGACAGAGCTAGAGCTAGGAGATGGACTGCCCGAATGAGAGTATTGAGAGTCTGATGAGAATGGAGATGGATGGAAGGGTCTCCTGACTACCCTTATATAGAGTCTGGGGCCAAGTCACATACAAAGAAAGAGGTTCTCCCGACCAAGGGGTCGTGAGCCTGCAGGAGGGGCCTAGCTAGCTTGGCTTGCAAGCAACACCGTCTTGTGGTGCACGTCTTGGCGTGGCTGTCATCATGGTCTTGTGTCCACGTCGTAGCATGGTGTGACGTGGTGCTACTATGCCGGTCATGGCGGCACTATAGGCACGGTGGTGTTTCGCTAGCCATCCTGTGCGGCGTGGTTTCGCCGTGGCCTTTGTCATCGCCTCCTGATCTTCGGGGCATCGTATAGGAGTTGGTAGCTACCCACAAGTCATTGATCGTCTTGCTGCTTGTGGAGTTGGTGGCCACGATCCTGAGTTCTAGGGTTGTGGCCCGCGTTGGTTTGGATGGCCTCTAAGTCAAGGCCATCATCATGGATCCCATCCCGTAGTGGGTGAGATCGTACACACGTCTTGTTGGATCATATCTGGGCGATGGTTCTCTGTACCTACTATCACCGCTTGGCAGTGTTGTCTTGTCTCTGTTGCGTGGTGCAGGGATGGTGTCTGACCGGACCAAGGTGACCGCTGTCTCCTCGATCCTTGTGGGGTTAGTGCTGCGTGCCTGCTCTTGTCAGAGTAGGCGCGCTTAGCGGGCTCGATCTCTCCCGTCCCTTCCCAGGGGTCGGGATGGTGAGAGGTCATGAGCGGCTGCATAGCGTGCGACTAAGGAAAGGGTTGTGGCAGGCCCCAGCCTTAGTTTTTGGTCTGGCTTGTTCACCTCAGCTGGGCCTCGATCGTTTGGGCTTATGCTGGCCGATATATTGTGGGCCGCCCGAGCGGCTAACTAATCGGTGCCTTGAGATACCTGGGGTATCATAACCCCAACAGTAACCCTCGAGTGTTTTTATGATCATGAAGTGATCATGAAAGTTCTAAGATGAGTATGTGGTGAGTGTGGGTTCGTAGTCATAGCCTGTCCGAGCTTTGTCGCTCGACCCCTTATGGGCTAGTGCGTTCAATGCGGTACGTGGTTGTTTCGTCCCGCCTTGTCAGGACACCCTGACGATGCGATACGCAACTGCTGAGCCTTGCCATGTTAGTGTGCTACGTATCGGGGTTCGTGAGCCAGGCGGGGCCAAGTGGTCTTGTCGACGCTGTACCAGCCTTGCCTTTGGGAAGGTCTCGATTTTCCTGACCTGACACGGACATCTAACTTTGGCTGCGGCCTCCCGTGGTGTGCCACAAGGCACGGGGGCCTCAGGCTGCTTAGTCCGCCCTTAGGCCTATAAATAGGTGCCTCCTTACCATTCAAACAACATTTAGCCATGTCTACATATCGCTCTTAGTTCCTTTTTGAGAAGCTGAGTTTAAGAGAGGGGAAGAGAGAAATTCGTGAAAACTGTGAGGTTTCGACCATGCGACCTGTTGAGGGGTTGATTTTACTGGCTGGAACCTAGATGTGCTCCCTCTAACGATTGGTGCTAGAAGGAGTTTTGCGAATAGGGGAGGACGAGTTGGTACGCCCCCCCAAATCCATAGCCTTGTGGCCTCCCCACCTTTCGAGATCTTTCGGCTCGAGTGTGCGAGGTGGTCCTAGGCTTTGGATGGTTTAGCCGCTCCATCCTCATCTCAGAGCAGATGGCGCTATCTGCCTTTTGCCCTATCCCTTCAGCTCCATAGGTCATGATGCTTGAGGGGGTTTGTGAGGTGTCCCTTTTCGTCGGATGAGCGATGGTGGAGGGGGCGCCCCGCAAGCCTCCTTCTGGCATCATGGCCTTGGGAGGTTGCGATCTTTCCACCGTGTTGGTATCATCAGGATTTTGATGTAGTACATGGCTAGGTCGTGCTTGTAATCGCTGACCTTAAATAAGGAATAATCCTTTATTGGTATGGTCGCAATGCCTTTGAGGGGTCACAGTGAGCCCCGAGCTGTCTGCTCAGGGTCGAGTATTTAAGTTCGAGGTTGTAACCCCCGAGCGGGTTGTTGGCTCACCGCCACATGAGGTGGGGGTGTTGTCAACTGGCCTCAGTTCGAGTGCTCTCGCCTTGAATGTACCATAGCCTGCGTGACCGTGTTTGTTCCGATTGTTATCGGACCACGACCTCGCCCGCGGATGTCAACGTGATCATGGGATAGCCTCCCTATTCTGGGGTTGCAGAATGTCCTCGATCATGCATGTCTGGGTTGTGGCCTCCTTTCTTGGGGTGAACGTCGCCTTTATGAGAGAAGGTGTCACTGAAGGTTTTTGGCTGTCGCTTCGGTCGACCTCTTCCCATAGGGTCATTGACTCCTACTGGTTTGTGAGGTCGTAGAGTGGGCCACGGGTCATGGACCCAAGATGTAGGGAGGAGTTCAATGGTGGCTTGGCCTCGTCCTCTAGAGGGGTCATAGGGACCCCACTACTTTTTCCCAGTGTCTTTTTGACCCTAAGGGGTCGTGATGCCTTGTTACAGGTAGGTCTATTTTTGCCCCACGCGGGGAGAGCCTTGTCCACCTTAACCACATGGTTGGAGCAGTGCGCCTCATCGACATGGAGTTCAGCTATGCCTCGTCGAGAGACGTCCCTTAAATCATTAGCCATCAGGCCCATCCGTCCTCAACCGCCTCTGCAGCAGCCAGAAGGCAAGATGCCTCCCCCTAGAGGGGGCAACCCGAGCGACTTTGAACCGAATGACTCGAACATAGGAAGAGATGGTCGTGAGGCTCCGCACCACCGATAAGAGCCGCTGGGGCCCATCTCATCATGCCCCTATCTCTTTTGTGGCCTCGAGCCCTTCTAAGGAGTGGCCAGAGAGAAGGTTTCCTAAACACGACACGGGGTCGTGGGCGATGTGGCCGCTCTGCGTGTGGACTCAAGGGACCACTGCTTCCCTAGTCGCGACGCGACTTAATGGCAGCCACTTGTGTGGGAACGGGTGCCATGTTGTGCGTTCATGATGATGGAAGGTCATTCTGCATGTGAATCCTAGGGGCGGTCGGCCTCCCTGGCTTTTATCATGACTTGATGGTGCCCCCGCATGTAATCATACGCTACGACATGACACCTCATTTCCTGAGGGTCTATGGGGCCTAACCCTAGGCGGACTCCACGCAGGCACGATTCGTGTCCCTAGGCGCCGCCACATAAATGGCCCCTTCTGTCTATGCCTGTCCCTTACCTTCATTCTTGCTCTCCATCATCTATTGCAAACAAAAGAGAGAAAGGGAATCGGGAGATTGGGTTTGAGAGTTTTACCTAGGTCACATGCCACCACCCACCGTCACACGGTGTAGCCGCTACCCCCCTCTAGTTTCACCACTGCCTCCTTGCCTTCCCCTATGCTACAAAATGGGTGAGTGGGTACCTTCGGAGGTGATGGAAGCGAAGCTATAGTGGCTAGTGGAGAAGGGTCTCCTCCCGCCAAAGGAGGTCACTGGGTGGAGGCCTGCCGCTGGAGATGTCCTTCCATTCCCACAGCCCGGCAAGGTGGTGTCGTTCACTAACTTCCACGAGCGTGGATTCACGGTCTCAATGTCGGATTTCTTTCATGACTTCCTTCGTGAGTATGGTGTCTAGCTGCAACATCTTCCTCCTAATGTGGTGTTGCAG